ATTGATTGTGCTCATATACTAGTGTTTTATAATAAAAAAAAAATTCATCTGCTCAGTTTACATGAAAAAGAATAAAGAAACGCACAAACATTTGTGAGGAGAGGCGCCTGTGGTGTGGGACTCAAAGGGTCCTCTGCATTACTGCAGATTATGAGGATTAAACTGCGTACAGTGAGTTTAGTAACTTGATGTGTGATACTTGCCTATTTTTCTCATCCCAGTGGTTCAACCACAGAACAATGGATGAGTGAAAGTCAACAGCATTGGATATAGCAGCAATAAAATCTGAGTGTTATTATTTTTTATGAACATTTGCAGAAAATGTTTGCTTTGCACGCTGTCTTCTGTAAGCTAACATAAAGAAAAAGCTTCATCTACTATAGATACCAGTGTTGATTTTATTTTATGGCATAATTGTTGGTTTTTTGTTTTATTCTTTTTGGAGGATGGAGCTCCTAACTTGTGACTGAAAATACTGCTGTTGTGTGAGAGGGGAATGTATGCTTGTTTCTAGAAAAGGCAGATACCCTTTAGCATAGATGGGAATTGGCAACAGTCAAGTATGTTCAACAGCAAATGGAGTTCAGATTTTTTTTAAAAAAAACCCACACATTACCTTGTTGTTGTTTTATTACATTGCCACATTCATCCTTTATTATTCAGGCAGCATATATTATTCAAGCCAGTTGGGCTGCTGCAGAGAACAGACTCTACCTTGAAGAGTATTCTACTTAAAACAGCTTATTTAAAGAAAGAGAAAAGCACTTATATTTGTCTTTGATTAGATTCCCAGCTTAAAGAATTGAAGCAAAATAGATTAGTCTGTCAGCTTCTTCTAGGGATCAAATGCACTATGATTGTGTTCTTTTCAATGTGTCACTTCAATGTCTGAATCAGGCAAAAAAATGTGTTATTTAATAAGATGCTCTACAATGACATGACCTTTAGAAGTTCTTTCATGCAAAGCAAGCATTCCTCTCTGGGTGGTGAGGATTTGCTCCTGCACTTATTTTGGAAAGCCATCAAATGGCGTTAGCAAATATGGTTCTCTTTGCCTGCAACCTGGCCTACAGCTTACAAGACACAGAGGCACAGTGATTGTATCCATGGCCATAAATAAAGCACAAATGAAATATATGAGGCTTTCCAAATTCTTTTTGAATCCGTGTAGGTAGGAATGCTGCAATGCCTTTTGTCTAACTTTCCCCCGCTCTAGGGCTGCTTCTTCCATTGATATTTCAAGCACTCACATTAGTCCATGGCCAGATCTTTTGTCACATGGGAGGACCAGAAACACTTAGCAGCTGAACATGGCAGTTGTAGTAGCTCTGCTTTCTCCTGGGGAAGCAACAACACTAAGGTGAATAAAGGGACAGAGAAGGATGTCAGCAATGGCATAGTTGCCGGGGAGAAAACACAGGAGGGTACAAAAGCCACAATAGGCATCAGAAAGGACATCTGAACAGAGTGCCCTAAGAGACTTGCATGAGGCAGTTCTGAGGATATAGCTGAGGATATATTTATCTCTCGCAGAAGCTCCATGAACCTTTTCAGAGTAGATCCAGGTGGACACGTAAGATGATAACTAGCACAGCCATTACAGGTTGTGTTTTGTTTCTGTGGACTGTGAGAATAAAGGGTTCAGCCCAACAACCCTTAGGCACCACCTCTCTCCTTGTGCTGTATTATGATCTCAACAGTCCACTAAGGACATCCTCTTTAAGAATGCCATTGATGTCCGATTTGTTCTTCAGTAAGTGCCCTGCAAGTGTTGAATTTTCTACCAATTAGATTGCCAAACTCCAAGCCATGGCATCTTTCAGCTGTATTGCTGGGCTGGCCTTTGATACTCAGTTGAATCAGGAAGCAGAAAATATCAGAGAATTTGATGAATATTTCACAACTGGTCACAATACCAAAAATCACTCTATAATGTCCCCCCCCCCAAAAAAAAACCTAAAAAGCTCACCAACTTTAGAGGGTGATCTCCTAAGAAAAGCTCAACAAAAAAAAGCTCCACAGATTTGGCTGCCCCCCCAGCCCCCCCCCCTCCGAAATCCTGGCTACGGCCATGATTGGAAGGGTGCAATTTAAAAAGCAGTCTTCAGACGACTATCGTGTCAAAGTAACTTGCTCTGGTTGTAAAAATGAGGTGTGACTTACATGAATTAGGACTTGGAATAGCTACACAATCTCTTTTGCTTACTCAACTCTCTACCATCTGCCTCATTTGATCAACAACACTGAAGAAAAACACAAAGTAAAACCTGAATATGTATTGTAGAAATGTAGAAGACAAATACAATATTTTTTCAAATGGAATTACTTTTAATAATATATACTCACAGAAGGTCTAATACTATGTAAGCTGTCTCTGTATTTTTTCCTGTAAATATCTTTGGGACAGTTTAAAAACACTGATTTTTTTCCTATGTCTCTGTTTAAGCATAAGACTTTGTAATGCTTTTATAAAGAGGAAAAAAAATCAAAGAGCAAATTATGTACTTGCTTCCTATGAGTGTAATGTACTCTTCAGTTTTTTATGGAAACTGATTGTAATAGATAAAGCCTTTTGAACAGCCTTGGTGTTAGTGTCACACTCCTGCTTTATAACAGGGAGGAGGAGGAGAGTTGTCAATGAAATGTTCCCAATGGGACTGGGCACTGAAAATTGTGCATTAGAAAAATTCTGTTTCCAGAACAATTACTCAAAGAGCATATGAGCAAATCCGCCGGTATATTTTTCTGTGCACATCCCATAGAAATAAATGAGAGGTGTGTAAGTCCAGGCGACTGCACTAAACTGTTAGTACAAAGTTGTGCTGCTCTCATTTGTTTCAGTGAGATTTGCACAGGAAAAACATTGTAGTGAAATGAGCTTTATGCCTTTTGACAAACCTTTCCAGTGTGGATCAGCAGAATCTAATATTTCTCTCCAATGAACAAAATATTTTTATACACTTTTCATTTCTTATTTGAATCTGAGGTCAGACCACTCAGTAGCTACAAGATGAAGCCATAACTGACCTTCACCAAATAAATGTTTTAAGGACCATAGTAGGGGGGAAACCTTCACTGTATTACAGCTATGAGAAAGGCAGACAGGAGCACAACTACAAGTGCAAATGATTTGGGTTGCCTTTGCAGGTTACCTAAGTTTGGTTTTCATGGGTAATATTTTATGATGACCAATTTATTTTAAAAAAGTAATAAGATTTAAATAAAACTTTCTAATATTTTTTGAAGAAAAAAAATCCCTGGAAATGCTTCCTTGCTTTTAGAATTATGAGAGAAACTGATTTTCATATACTTCCAAGTTTCAAAGGTTAACTATTTTTATCCTATTTCCAGTAACTTTTGTTAACGTGAAGTGAGATGTTACATCTCTGTGCTGTTGGAACCACAAGTTATTTGGTGCTTGGCTGTAGCTGTTATTGTTGTAAGTTTATTTTATCTTCCTTTTAGGAGTAGTTTGCAACTTTAATCAAGCATGCTCACCACTCTTAGAAAAACAACAACAAAGAATCAGAGTTGTGTTCTGGCCTGAAAACAAGGATAGACAAAAAAATACCCAGTCAAAAAGATTCACTTGAAACCATTAATAATTATTATTCCCTAGAAGTAAACATCTCATAGAAACAATATTAATTTCCCCCCCATGAAGCTTAATTGTATGATAATATTAATAACGATGTATTTTATTGGCCTTTAGATACAGAAAGCAAACACACAAACAGATGACAAAACATTTGTTTGACATCTGCAGTTTCCTTCTGACACGGTTCTCTCTCTCTGCTCTTTCTCCCATGTTTAATATTTATGTGAACGTGAGTAAAAACTACAGCCTGATTCATTTAGAAAGTGACCATTATTATTATTTTCTTATAAATGTTTTAGGACCAGCATCCCCACAACCCATCAAAAATTTTTAAAAGGTTTTCTATTTCTTTAGAATGTAATAGCTTTTTGTCTTATTTTATGTCCTGTAAGTTATTAGTTCAATACTGTTAGCATTCCATAATAATGCACACATGATTTTTGAATGTTTTCTGTAAATGACAATCAATGTTGATGAAGTTCCTTTCTTTAATGCTGAAGAAAATTAAAAAAAAAAATGTATAAGAAATCAATTGTTTGACATGATTTTTTTCCCTCACAAAATTTACTCTTGTCCTTTGGCTAAAAGCAGGAAAATGTACAGTTTAATAGATAGTTCCTGCATTCTGTGACATCGTTGCATGGCCAAAAGATGGGATGTTGAGTGGGGTTAGGCAAATGAAGAGGCCAGGCTATGCAGATAGGAGCAGGCTCAATTATTAGTTGCACTGATCAAATACTATAAAATAAATGGACTGCAGTCTAGGAAAGAGTCCCTTGTGGGCAATGAGATCAACACTAACCTGGAGTTAGATAGAAAATGATTATTCACTTCAGGCGATCAATAATTTCAGGTTTGAACACAGCCAGGTCTTACTTGCACTGCCCCAGGTGTCTGCTGTTAAAGTCATTCAGCAGGGAAAAGGTAACGCCAGAATTCTAAGACTTTTCATCTGGGACTGAGCTCTGCCAAATGCACCTTCTCCCTAGGAACTGCACATGAACTTCCAAACAAGAGTCTGCTGTGGTCACATCAAGAAGGATAAGAAAGAGAAAGATGGAACAATCCCAGCTGGAGGGCCAGTTTGGGAAAGGAATGTGCACACCTCTTAATGAACAGATCTCCAGACACATACAATACTCCCAATTTAACAGGCCTTTTATTTGTGTACATAATTTTGGAGTTAGGAATGGCTACAATATTTTATAATATTCCATCAACTAAATATGCCTGAGAGTCAAACTACACTTGGCTTTAAAGTCATCACATGGAGTTATATGAATCTTTTGGGGTATTTTAATCTCTGAAGAGCAACCTTTGGGAGGTCCAATCAGGATCAATTCCACAGTGCATGGGAAAAGGAGGCAAATCCTTTCCTATTCCAGGTCACAATGAAAATCTACCTCCCTGAAGCTGCTACTTGTGTCCTCAAGTGCAGTGAGCCTGCCACCCGGGTGCCTAATGGGTATAATCACAGAGACATGGTACTACATTTTTGGGTTGAAACTGTCCAAAACTGTATTGATTACAGATGTAAGTGCTTTGGCTTAGGCACTGGGTGATTTTCAAATCAAGCAGCCCACCTGCTGACTGCCAGTCCCAGATAGGATGAAATATATCAAGTAGGAACAGCTCATCAGAGTTGCCACTGGGGAGGGGGGTGCTATGGCCCTCAGTCCCAATCTGGGTTTATGGAAAGACACACCTCCCTTGGATCTGGACTTCTTAGGAGAGGAAAGCAGTGCCCTACAACTCCCTGCCCCCCCCCCATTCCTTACTATGCATTCTACCCAGTGCCTTATCTGCCAAAGCTGTGACGATTGCTATAAGGTAGGCGAAAAACTCTGGACCAGACAATATGGACATAAAATTCTTCCCTGGCCCCGAATACAGCAACCGATACATCCATAGCAAGGTCATAATACATAAAAACATCCAATCAACCATAACATATGAACTCTGAAATTAGTAGGAAAAAGCTGAGGAGGGTGGGTGAAGAATGCACAACAGCAGTGCCATGGTTTTTAAATATGTTGGGCCCTTCTTAATAGGTGGGCCCTTCTTAAGAGAGTAGACCCAAGTGAAAACCTCCGGTGGTCATCCTGGTGAGCAGGATTTGTACAGGAAGGAAGCTTCCGTTAGCACCATCTGGTAACCTGTTTGTTTGATTTCGGGGCATTGAAATCTATGGGATTTAAGTGCCCCAAACCAGGATTTCAATTGCTGATATATGTAGAGAATATAATACTTTCGAATCTCAGAGGTGGAATCTACACACATATTAAAAATGCTGTGAAAATGCTTTTTTAAAAAAAGTTTTGAAAAATGCATTGAATTTTGCATAGCTCACTGTCGCCATCTAGTGTCACATTTGTATATTGCACTTTACAACACATTTTAAAATGTTTTATTTGCAGCTGTGTAGCTGAGTCCAGAGACACTAAAATAAAATAAATTATGTTCTCTATGTGTTTTTGTTTCATTTTTACACAATATACATTTTAGTTAATGAGTTTATGGCTGCCTGCGACAAACAGTAAATGTTCTTACACCTAGGATTGTTGCACAAATAGACTTCTGCTCACGCAACAGGACTTCTCCTTCCTTTCCTCTCCTCTTCCCTCACATTCCCCAAAAATCTGTTCTGGAGGGTCCTCCAACCCTCTGGTGATGTCAGGATGAAGTCAGCGGCTCCTGGCTGGTTGCCCAGGAAAATATAAAGACAAGGAAAAGTTTCTTACAGTCCTTTTTTATTTCAAACTTTACAGAGAGAGGCTATAGAACCCAGCCTCTTGGGATAATGGTGTTGTCCCGAGTGAATCTCCATCCCCCTTCTCTCCCATTTCCTCATTCGTCATCATCATCACCACCTCCTCTACGGATGCCACTAACCGCCCTCTGTCTTCAAGCTCTTTGCTCTCCAGCTTTTAAGGCTTGCTGGGTTCTGGGAGATGGTGGGTCTGGAATGCTTTCTAATGACAACGTGTCAGTCAGCTGCTCTGGCCCTCCCATGATTTCCCAACTTTTCCCCTCATCTGCCTCTGAGCTGTGACCTCCCTCAAACCCCTGTTGTAAATCTGTACTGTCTTCCTTTTCCTCCTCCCTGGAAGGGTTAGGATGGGGAGGCGGTCTCTACCATTCCTCCTCTGCCCAGGCCCTGACAGGTGAAGATTCTGAGTGTGCTACAGAGGAGAGAAGAGGAGAGTAGATGGAAGTCGGCTGCATGAGCAGAACAGCAGCTTTTGCTATAAGCCATAATATATTGCTAACCTTCACCCAGCATCTCCCCATTATGATGAGGAGGATTTATTAAATCTGTACTCTGCTCTTCATCTGTAGATCTCAGGATGGTTCATAGCATAAAAAACAAGATAAAAACACAAAATGCATACTAAAAACAAGAACAAAAGCAAAACAAAACAATAAACCCCCCCACCCCCAACTGACATTTCCACACAATTCTTCTACGCTCAAGATGTTGACTTTCTGCTATAAATTCAGTGCCAATCCATTCTTCCAAACAAAACCTCTTTTTGCAGGTACTTTGGGACTCTGTTAACATTGGTTTTATCTATAAATTTGAAAGCAGAGCATAAACGGAGGCAAACAGGAGGCTCTTCTACACAACAGCAGATGACCATGATTATGTATTTTTAACCTACCCTTCACCATAATATTTTGAAGGCAGGTTAGTTAGAACAATTTTCAACCAATAGAATAGAGGGAGTTCTATTCTATTCTATTCTATTCTATTCTATTCTATTCTATTCTATTCTATTCTATATACCTTATGTATATATGGTATCAAAGGCCAGGGTGCATCTTCTTTACCACAAAAACTATACACTAAAAGCACACCTCTGTTACCCCACACCAGATCCTCAGATATATGTCCTGCACCTTCAAGTAGGGTTGGGGTGTGGGGAGAAGTTTGATGCAGTTCTGATTTAAAGGCAAAGCTACCTCATTCATGCTTTCTGAAACAATGTGAAAATTGAGGTGTAGCCATCCTTCAAAATTTCACCTCTCCAAATTTAGCAATGCAGTTCTCTCCAGCCAAGTAATGCATACATGGACAAGGGCCAAGTGTGCCCCCAAAAGGTACATATTAGTGAAAATGATGTGGAAACATGCATCGTATTAGAGAAAACTCTTTTGCAAAATTGTGTGTTTTAGGCAAAATTGCACACAAAGATGTGTCTTAGAAGAAATTCACGCTAAAATACTGAAGAATTTCCCTGGGGACTTGGGGATGGAGCTTGAATCACAAACTGGTATGGAAATGTGGAGAACTGAAGTTAAGTATGGAAAAATGAGAAACTGGGGGGGGGGGGGGACCAATAGGAGAAATATGCATGTATAAAAATGGTCTTTGAAGGTACACAACGCAGTGTGACTTTAAAGGAAACTATGGGTGAAACCAGGGCCGTCTTTAGCAGATGCAGCGCTGGGGTGCAAATATCCACCCAGTGCCCCCAAATTACCATGGATAGTGTTGGGGTGCCCGTAGCTGCTCACTGCCAGCCACTGGGGGACACAACTCTCCCCCATGCTGTTGCGGGACAGTGATCCCCGCAGAGGCTTGGGAGGGAAGCTGCACACCCGCCAGCCTTATGGTTGGTGGGGCGCAGCTGGTGGGCGCGCAGGGAAAGAGGAGGCTGCCAGCAAAGCCGTGCAGCTCCTCCACTCACTGGGGCACCCCTGAGAGGCCAGCACCCAGGCGCAACACACCACTAAGCCCTATGAGAAAGACGGCTCTGGATGAAACATCAGGGCTTAGATTGAAACATTTTAAAAGTAGGCCATGCTGGAAATGGACATATATTGTACTGAGCAAATGCCAATATTCCACCAGGTTGCAGAGCAGAAAGACAGAGAAAGGAAGCAGGGTTATTCTATCATGGCTACTCAGAGCTGCCTTTGGCTTTTCCGCAAGTGTCACCTAGCAGCAGTCATCCCATCAGGGTCCCTGCACTGTTTCCACCCCAACTGGTCATTATAACTTTAAGAACTAGTACCTGAGCTTGTTCCTTTCCTCCTTCCTCCCTATTCCCTTTTCCTTTTATGTCATCTATTTTAGATTGTTTTTCACTATCTTTAAAACTTCTCTGGAAGCTTTTTGGGCTAACAGTTGGAATAAAACACTTTATAAATATGGTAAATAAGCCAATGCACTGTGCATATATTCCTAGTATATTCTGGCCAAGTCTTCACCTGCCACTTTTAGAAAAGGCACCAATAAAAAGAAGAAGATATTTTTAGAACTGTCACCAAGGGGAAAGTGAAAGAGTAGGTAGAAATAAGTGATGCTGAAAGAGAAATGAGCCCAGTAATATTCTTACAGGGCAGAGAGGAGCTACATTTCACTTTGTTACAGATACAGGATCCCGATAAGTGGAAGGGACTCAGGACTCATCGAGACTGACCCCCCCCCAACCTCATAAACTCAAAACAATACACTACAATTTAGACTGAAATTTTATGTATAGTAACAGGAAATTAAAATAGGACCTATTCAACATTCCATAGTAAGAGAATGTTACAATGTGGAAGACATATGGAAAAAGAAGGGTGTTATTTTTTCTTTTCTTTTTAAGCAACAAACTTGGAAGTAGGTACCCAAAGACACCCAAACAAGACAGTAAAAGTGATGAAAGATGTTAAGATACATAGTCTTCTCTATTGGATAACAGAAAATAATAATGTTTCTTTTGAAATATGTACTGAACGTATCACTGATGAGAAAACATTGCAAAGAGTTGTTTTGGTTGTGTAAAAATGTGCAATAGTTTCACCACCTGTGTTTGTTTACTACAGATATCATGGTGGTGGCATATAATGGTTAGAGTGCTGGACCTGGGAGGGTAGGGTTCAAACATCCACTCAGCTGTGAAGCTCACTGGGTGACTTTGGGCCAGTCACCATCTCTTAGCTTAACCTACCTCACAGGGTTCTTGTGAGGATGAAATGGGGAGGAGAAGCTTAAGATCCTTGGAAGACAAAGGTGGATATAAATATAATAGGTGAGTAAATAAAATACAGCAGGGAAAAGAGCATAAAAATGTTTTTGGAATTAAAGGCATTCTGAGGACCTAATGATTTTACAGCAGCACTAGAGTGCTTTGGGAAGGGAAGATTAATCTTTCATTCCACAGTCACGGAAGGATATAGAGAGCCCATGGTGCCTTTGCCCTCTGCAGCAGCAGAGCTGAGCAGTGCTATTTTTGCAGAAAAAGAACTCACCATGAACACCACACTCGTTCTCTTTGAATGGCAATGGCGCCCACCTGAGAGGTGTTGGATGCAGCAGTCACTTTGCTTTGTTGGCTCACTCCCCACCCCCAAGCCTGCAACAGAGAGGTGGGGGGAGGGGGGAGCTGGTGTTAGGGAGGCAGAAGGACTGGGCACACCCCCAGCCTCTCCCACTCACCACCGCTCTGTTGAGGGACTTGGGGTGGGGAGGGAGTGGAAAGTGGGAGAGGCTGGGAGCATGAGAAGAGTGCTGAGCAGCAGGCCTCTTCCTGGTGCATCAACTTTGCCCCCTCAGATATGTTATTGCAGGGGCCAAATTACCTCGACCCCTAGGAGTTGGCACCTGTGTCGTGGTGGTCAATGGATTGGCTGAGAGAAGTCATAGTCTCTGTGGAGATGAGGGCACACAGAGCAGAAATGGGATAAAGGCAGCCAAACTTCACAGGGATGCATGGACAAGGAGTGAAGGTTGGGTTGGGAGGAAATAGGAATTGATGGGTGTGAGACAATAATTTATATTATTATAGCTACAGAATGCATTGATGCCAGGGGTTGAGCCTGCCTAGCTTTGTCAGAGGTGGGGGCCAGTGGCACAATCATACTGCTTCTTCTACATGTGAGTGCTTTTCATACAAGTAGTGGATAAAGAGGTGAGGGCAACTTTCCCCATCACTGGGACAAGAGTGACCACAGCCCTAAAGGGGCAGAAAGCCCCAGTGGGTCAGGATTGCTTCTACTGTGAATGTTTTGTACTTAGGTATTTATTTTTCCTGCCCAGAGTAAAGGCTTATCAGCTCTTTTCCACCCATGCTCTTTCCCGTGCCCCCTTTTTAGAGTCAAACATGCACATTGTAATGGGCAAATAATAACAAACAAGCACCATGCTTAGATAAGGGGAGGCCTATGCCCATCTCATAGGGCACCACGGACAATGGCCCTGGTCCCATCCACGCCCACCATTAACAGGTGTGTTTCTTTCACTTCCTTGCTGCAAGTGCTGCTTTCCACAAAATGTCCATCCATTTGATAGTCACAATTTCAGCACCAAATTGGTAGGTCTACTGCAGGCGGAGCCTCATCAGAGTCATGTGGAGGGGACTGATCAGTTTCCCTGCACCCTTCCTAATGCCCAAGAGCAATGGGCCCATCTTCCAAAAGCAAACTCCTAGTGCCATGTAAAGGAACTCATCAGCAGTTGTGCAACTGAAAGCTTTGACCCCAAAGTTTAAGAATTTCGGAGCAATCTTGCCTTCAAATGAGCAGACAATTAAAAGAGATAATCAGGGCATTTCCAACCTCCAAAACCTTTAAATGAAAATAATCTACACTCCAAGCTAAGTTAATCGGGCTCAATCTATTTTCCCTATCGCTGCAAATCACCACAGTTTCCAACTAACAAGAATGGGTTGCCCTACTTGATCCGACAGCCCTTGTAAGAGAGGCACTTAGCATAACATTACTATCATTACATCCCCAGGTTAAAGGCAATGAAACTCCGGGAGTGGCAAAGTCAAATCAGTTCAATTGTCTGATTGTTCATGCTCACAAAGTAGTGAGGCCGGCAGGGGTCCGGCATAAAACTTAGGGTTTTTATAGAGGAGCTCCTTTAAGGTAATTCATTGCCCTCTGCAGTAGCTTTAAATCAGAAGGGATAGAATGGTCACAGTGAACATGGCTCTTAACGGTTCTCGAGAGCTCAGTAGCAGATAGCCAGCTGCTAGGCCAGATGTCAAAGGTGCATTAAGAGCACTTGCGCTTGATCTCACCCATTCCGGGGAAGTGCAATGGATGTGGCTTGAAGCACTGCAATAAAAAAGAGAGTGATTAATGAAGCAGCGCAACTTAATAAAGCAAGTTGACTCCCGCTTCCTTCTCGCAGGCATTTTCACTGTCCACAAAGCAGTTCTTTTACTTACCAGCAGGGACGTGTAAAATGTTAATCATCAATCTGTGGGCCATTAAAGAAGTTGCTTTCCCTCTCTCAACTTGAAAAACCAAGGGGGGAAAGATAATAGGTTTGGTTAACAGAGCTCTTCAGATAATGGAGGATGTTCAGAGGGAGGCATTGATGGAGTCAGCATGGGAGCTCAGCACATTAATCCAGCCTTTGCTTAAGGACTGCTGAGTTCCTAATGCTGGGCATTGAAACCCATGCCTGAGATGCAGGTCAGCCCACTTGCATGGCTAAACAGTGCTGACTTTCTAACGGCAATCCAGGTAGACAAGGAACTGGCCTAAGCCCGGAGAATGCAACGGATACTTTTAGACAACCCTCCAGAGCAGATGGGGCAGGGAGAAGATGGGGGAAAGTCTAGTTGCAGGACCTGCGCATCACACACAGTAGGAGTATATTGTTATGTGCACCAAGTCTCTGAGTGGTAAGTAACACTGCTTACCTTGCAATGAAGATCACTGGAGACTGTGGTGTCTTTAGGGTGTATGGTTTTATTTGCACATATATACAACCTGAGCATAAGATAGTAGGACTCACAGCATTCACAATCCAACAAATCGTGCTTCCCCATTTGTTTTCTAGGGGATCCCCCAAGCCATAGCTTGGTTTCAGCATGAAAAGCAGGTCAAGTCTCTGTCTCCTTTCCAAGCCCAGCCTCAGCTCTTGGCCTATTGTTCTCCTTCCTACAAAAGGATACGGTCTTCAGCCAGATGCAAGGGGTGTGGGCTACTCTTTCTTCTGCCACCACCATTTCCTAGTTAGTCCAATGGCAACATGGTCCAGTCTTTAGCCATGGAGATAAGATACTTACAGGCCTGGTTAGGACCATTAACTTAACAACAAGACTGGTTTGACCACTTCAGCAGTCCCTTCTACTGGAAGCTACCATCTTAGATACAGACTTTGTTGGGACCCAATGCATACGCCAAACCAACACTACTTCGCTGAAGCAAAAGTTATTACTGAATACCAGTGCAAGTGGGATACCAATTCCTGAAGTAGAGTTCTGAATTATTGTTTCTGGGATTGTTTTAGTCCTCCCCAAAGACTATGGTACAATAGTGTTGTGTGAATGTGCTTTTATCATGCAATAAAGCTCATTTTATCATGTGATAAAATCCTTTCAGCCATTTCTCTGGTCTGGGCATGGCCACTGGAGAGAGATGAGGGGAGAAGACACTTAAAGACTGCTGTTAAGCACTGGGATCTCTGCACTGAGAAAGCAGCATTTATGATTCTATCAGTTCCCATTAAAATGTTTGTTTTATAACACAGCATGAACAAAGAATGTATTTATGTGCGGTTGAAGGTTAATAGGCTGTCAGATCCGAACTAACAAATACTGCAATGCCTTAGCTGTATTGCAAAGTGTGGATAAAGTGACCTCGAAGGCTGCTATTTAAAGGCAGGAGAGGTGAAATAATTAGAATCACACAGAGACAGAATCTTAAGTGGTGACAATCAAAAGAACACAAAGGGGCTTGCAAAATCAAGAAGCCTGTC